GTCTTTGTGATGAGGAATAAAATCACGTTTCTAGTTCTGACCTGTTTCGGACCACGGGAAATTGTTCCGACAATGCCTGTTTTAAGTGCGCGTAGTCTGTTGTCTTATCTTCAATGACTCTATAACCTAGAACTTCGAACCAGTCGAGTGCCCGTCCTTTGAGATGACCTTTCAAGTAAGCACATGCCAGTTGTGCAGGTATCTCATAATACGCGAGATTATGATCAATATTCTCCAAAAAATCATCTATGTTCTCAATTCCCGAAAAATATTGTTCCGGAAGGATTCTAAAACTGGATCCGACTCTATTCTCGGGATTTATACGTTGGGCGCCATTGTGAAGGTCCCTCGGGACCTCACTTTGAGAACAAGAATAATTTTGAGTCACAAAAGAACCAGTAGCCATTTTTATAAATAACTTTCTTTATTTGGATATCTTTCCCAAATAGAATCAAAGACTTATTAACAAATTCGACTACTAATATTATGAGGTTTTAAAGATAATATCCTTTAAATTAGCTCAATTAAGTAATGATCCAATTAATTAATTTATTAAATAACGATCACGCAGAAATTACCACGATAAGAGATCCCAGAATTATATTTAATAATGTTCTTATTGAACATTTAACTTTAATCTGACTCTTAAAACTTGAGTGAGACTTTAAATTCAAAATGATATTTACCACTCGGAATCTCAATTCTTCATGAGGGTAATTTATCTTCAACAACAATATTTCAATTCAAAATCACTATAACTCTATGTTTCAATATCTATCTCCTACTGCTCTAACTTTACTATTTCGTTTGACTTAAATACTGAATCTAATCTGCATAATAAGGAATCCTGTCCGCTATTTGGAGTTGATTGGAAATAGGTAGGGAATTAAATTTCCCTAAAAAGGTCGGTTCAGAAGGTTAGTGATAAAGTTTCGTATAGATTCGTCACAAGATGTGCAAATGATAAAAATTTGAACGCAGACACAAATCACGCGCGCCTGTCGCGCCTCCTCAAAGCGCTATTTAAGGCTTGGAGATTTCGAAGATTTCAAGTTCGGCAATTGTGTTTTTCTTGCGGTTTTTTAAAAAAAAGGATTAGTTATGTCTCGTAGAAAACAGCGATCAGGTTTTGATCAAGTATCCGAATTCGACAGAGGAAGGATAGTGGCTTACCGAGATTGTGGATTATCTTCCAGGAAAATCGGTAGTCGTGTTGGACGAAACCAGACAACTGTAATGCGGATATGTGATCGTTGGATGCAGGATGTTTTTTTAGAGGTATAGAACTTTAAATTGCAATAAAACAACGATGTATTATTCGATTGACATGATTTTTTTGTGGCATTACATTTTAAGTATGATTTCTGGCATATGACTGTCACGGCTGGCTCGGATGTAGTCCAATCTAGACGTCCAATTTTCGATGACTTTTTTCAACATTTGTGGCCGTATATCGGCAATAACACGGCGAATGTTGTCTTCCAAATGGTCAAGTGTTTGTGGCTTATCCGCATAGACCAATGACTTTGCATAGCCCCACAGAAAATAGTCTAGCGGTGTTAAATCACAAGATCTTGGAGGCCAATTCACAGGTCCAAAACGTGAAATTAGGCGGTCACCAAACGTGTCTTTCAATAAATCGATTGTGGCACGAGCTGTATGACTACAGCTTGTTGGAACCACAGCTCCTGGACATCATGATTGTTCAATTCAGGAATGAAAAAGTTAGTAACCATGGCTCTATACCGATCACCATTGACTGTAACGTTGTGGCCTTCATCGTTTTTGAAGAAGGATTCCACCAGCCCATAAAGCGCACCAAACAGTCAGTTTTTCTGGATGTAACGGTGTTTCGACATACACTTGTGGATTAGCTTCACTCCAAATGTGGCAGTTTTGTTGGTTGACGTAGCCATTCAACCAGAAGTTCGCTTCATCGCTAAACAAAATTCGTTTATGAAAATCGGGAACAACGGCAATCTCGTTTTGGGCCCATTCGACGAATCTACGCCTTGCTTGATCATATTTAAAATGTAATGCCACAAGATTATCTTTCGAATAAAAAAAAATCATGTCAATCGAATAATATATCGTTGTTTTATTGCAATTTAAAGTTCTATACCTCTAAAAAAACACCTTTTAGAAGGAAACCTTAAAAAAAAAGTGACGATTATCCACCAAGATTGAATTAAGATTAGATTAAATCGGATAATAGCTTATATCCTTAATTAAGATAAGGATCAAGTTTATTATTAACCTAATCATTTACGTTTTACTGTCGTTGTTCCATTTTCACAGTTTTCATTGAGACATTCTCTTAATATTATTAGTTGAAGTTATGTCTGTTCTAAGTGTTGAAATAAAAAGCTTAGTTGAATCATATCGAACGTTTCTTCCCTCTCCCCCCTCCACACACATCTAGGTGCTCACGAGAGAGGCACGGGCCTCTTACGATCTGAAAATCCACTTTCCAAACTTCCACAATAGAGTAAGTACTTAAAACTTGTGATAGATTTCACGTAGAAGCTCGAGAAGAGTCTTTAGTGGCATAAGAATTGAAACCAGTGACTCGACAGAAACATTGACTACCATGAATTCAAGGCCATATCTACTCGATTACCGAGGCCACTTTCCATGTGACTGATTAATTCTGTGTCATACTTACACGATGGAATCTTCTGAAAAAATGAATTGGTAATATCAAATTAATATGTTACATTCATCACACATGGAAAACTAAAAATTTTAAACATTATCAGGATTCCTAATAAAGTGTACCTTTACATAAACAGTCATTTCGTTAAACAGATAACAATTTTTGTTCTCTTTTTCATAAGAAAAAAATATCTACAAAAAAGGGAAGAACGTTACGAAAACCATCATTTCGAGTTTGATTCAATGGCTTCCCGACCCATACTGCGTTCGGATCCTCCTGGGTTTCTTTCTGCTATAAGTGATATTTTCACCTCAACCAACATGAGGTGGTTCAGCGACAGGAGCTTAGCTATCGCTGTATCAGCCTATCATTGATACGGGGGCCCAAGCTACAGGGCAGCCAATATGTGCAAAATTCGGGCACAGGGCCGTAGGTAGCCTAGTTGTTAGAGCATCGGATTCCAGACCGGAAGGCCTGGGTTCGATGCCGCCAAATACCTTCCGAGTACACACGAAGTACGTGCTCGTTAAATCAGTGGGTCCGTCTTGTGGACTGAATCACGAGTGCAGAGGGCTGGAGAATATTTCCATCCCCTTCAGTTCCATGCCTAAATTGTGGAGGTGAAGATAGGGGGTGTCGCCATCTATCGTCCCTTCGGGGAATTTCGCTGAGCTTATTCCTACTTTCACATGTATGGTGCTCAAGGCGAAGGCCAACGACAGGCGTACTTTTAGCCCCTTGCCACGATGAGTTTCATAGGCCTCGTTCTGACTACGTCAGACAGGTTGCATTAGCCACAACAACAACAACATTCTGGCACTTTTCAATAAGTGTCCTTTATTTCTTTCCTAAAAAAAGGCTCACAAGGAATTTTTATACAAGGTCCCCTCAGGACTAGCTACGCCAGTGTTCCGCGACAAATTATGCAAATGAAACAACAATCATTGAGCAAATAAAAAGAAAAACAAATTCGTATCCTCCCTCAATCCTATGTAACATGATTCCAAATATATTTGGATTTCTTCAATTATGAACTAGCATCTTAAAATTTTATTCAAACATGCTTTATTTTCATATTAATGCTTTCACAAACGGTGCATTATTTTTTTACGAGTAAACTGACTAGTTCTTTGCTTAACAAATCTCAGGAAATCGCCTGTTGACAGCGTTTTAAAAAAGTAGAGGCGTTTTGTACCGGATGTACCATTCAAGCCTCTATCGCCACTTTCTCAAAGTTGGCCTTACACTAATCCGTAGAATTATTGGAGAAACGTGACTGAGATGTAAACTTTCCCTTCTTACGAAATTTCTACGCTCCAATTGTACACCCCCTCCCCTTATTTCGGAAAAAAGAAATTATATTCTTTTTAGGCTCCATTTGTTCGAAATAGGTTGCACAGAAATCAATTTCAAATGACCTCATGACCTTTACACAACTCTTGCCAGTGCATACTCGGAGATGAAAACTATATAAATTATATTAGCTCGCATAGTTCCCCATTAAAAGTAATTACATACTTATTTACGGAATTCATTGAAAATGTAGAATAAAGCTAGTTATTAATAATGATTAAAAGGTAATTTCCCCCATTATATTTGTGGCCGCGGTAGCCTAGTGTTCAAGGTAACGAAATCGTGGCTGGCGTGTCATGAGCTCAAGCCTAGTACCGCTGAAGACCAACCGTGTAGGGAGGTGATGCACGTTAAACCTGTCCAAACTCAAATATCCTCCCGTTCGTGTGGTGAGGAAGTTAGGAAAGGGGGTTCCAGCTCAAGTGTTGAATTCGTCATTTGACCATAGTTTAAAATTACGAGGTCCGTCGGCAAAAGCACTCGAGTAGAAGAATATTGCGATGTTAATATTCACTCACTCACTCACCCCCCCCCGCCCCCCGTCCACATTACAAGGTATGTTTCAAGATAAACCATAAGGAATTCCAACAATTACGCTCTGAGCACCCCTGACCAAAAATTTCCACATCAGACATGTTTTATATATATATATATATATATATATATATATATATATATATATAACAATATATAACAATATAAAAAAAAATTAAGTCAATTCCTACTTAGGTCAACAAAGAAAAATTTTATGTCAGTTACTTTTTTATTAAATAGTTACAATGAATATAAATATGTATATACATATGATAGATTCACAATATTAAGTGACGAAATAGAAAGCGATTTTCTTAACAATTTTTCATTTTCCTATCTATTCGATAGAGGGCGTTGTACTATTTTCTTTCTTTGTTACTATTTATTCATTCATTAAATTTAATTGTTCTAATAAAATAGTATAGTAAAATAGAAATCACGTTCTCAGCAATTAGGACATCCCAGGTGGATTCAAACCCACGATCTTTGGATTAAAAGTCCAACGTGCTATTCAATGCACTACAGGGGAACAAGGAATGATTTTCCTTTTTACATGTAATGTTGGATTATTATTTTTGTTTGTTTCTATTTATTTATTTTTTAATTTAATATTAATGCATTATATTTGAAGAAAACTGTATTAACATCAAGTGTCATCCACTACAATTTTAAAAAAATGTATTTGAACTTGAATGGATGAATAGACAGTATTTTATTAATGACTGAATTTTTGAACGATATATATATATATATATATATATATATATATATATATATATATATATATATATTCCTACTATTAGTTCAGTCTTTCGAAATATATATATATATATTCCTACTATTAGTTCACTCTTTCGAAATATATATATATATATATATTCCTACTATTAGTTCACTCTTTCGAAATATATATTCCTACTATTAGTTTACTCTTTCGAAATATATATTCCTACTATTAGAAATATATATTCCTACTATTAGTTTACTCTTTCGAAATATATATATATATATTCCTACTATTAGTTCGAGAAATATATATATATATATATATTTACTATTAGAAATATATATTCCTACTATTAGTTTACTCTTTCGAAATATATATATATAAATATATATATATATATTCCTACTATTATATCGATATATATATATATATATATATATATTCCGACTATTAGTTCACTTTCTTTCGATATATATATATATATATATATATATATATATATATATATATATATATATATATATACGAGAGTTGGGGCAAAAGTTAAGGCAACTATTTTTTTTTCTTGAAGATACCAGTTCGGTTGGAAATTGTGACATATACAGACGAAAGGACAAGGGGTTAACTACATTGTGGGCAATGAATATCTCTGAAATATCGTAACACATTTATTTATTACGGTAGTATACATGGCAATATGGCCTTCATGGTGCAAAGAGTGACAACACAGTATACATAAAGTTGACATGACAAACCTGGGCCTAAAGGAACTCAATGTAGTCCCCTGTTACTGCCACAACACGCTGTTAACGATGTGGGAGGCGCTGAATACCATCAGCGTCAGCATTTGCTGCACTATATCTGAATCGGGTCTCCTGTTGGCGCACAGCATTAGCAATGTCCTCTCGTGTTGCAAACCGCCTACCACGTATTGGCTCCTTAATCTTGGGAATGAGATTAAAGTCACAGGATGAAATGTCAGGAGAGTATGGTGGGTTCTCCAATTCTTCTCATCCCCAACTTCGGAGTAGCTGTCCTATTCACGGTGCTTTGTGTGGTATTGCATATTCGTGCAGGATTACTGCACTGTCCACAAGATACGGACGTTTATCCTGAACGCCACGTCGTACCTGTCGCACCAGGAAATCCCTCTAGTACTGTTTTGATGTAGGCGCGCTGCTCAGCACGGATTACTTCCATCTCACACGACGCTCTTCAACTGACTGATTTCACAGCCCTAGCTGTGCTACTACTAGCTGTGCCAGAGCCATCTTTTGTTCTACATACACGCTATGCATGCAGAACTTCCACACGACACGTATACGTATGTGATCCATTCACATATCTACAAGAAAAATATAATTGCCATGACTTATGCCCCAACCCTCGTATATAGTTACGACTTTTGTGTAAATAGTGTAAATAATTTGTATTTGGATGTGTAGTGCATTTATATTACTCTATGTTATATTAACTTTATGTTAAAATTGTAATATTTACAAGCAATGCCTTCATTTACGCTGTAATGGCGATTCAATGAGAACTTTGCGAAATCTTGGCGATAGAGCCAAATTGGCGACCAAGTTTGTCACCAAATTGGCGAGTTTGGGCCCCACTGGATTCTTCAAGAAATTTGTGGAGAAATACGCTAATTTCACGCTCTATGATGCAAGCGGTTATCTTTCTGGAAGTTTCAGCCGAGTCTATAAATAGAGCAATGCTCACCGAAACAGCCAGTCTTGTTTCAACCAGAAGTATCAAAGGTCAACTTGCGTTGACCGTGATTACAGATTAGCTCGGCTGTACTTGTGAATAATCTTCCACATATACGTTTATTTTAAAGACTGAGAATTGTGTTTGAATGTTGTTGAAGGAGTGAAGACCTCCTGAGATTAATTCTGAGAATATTGCTGTTGAATCCTGTAATTAAAGTAATTGGATTTTCGATAATAAATTCTAATCGCCCTTAAAGAATTATCTTGTACTTTGTGGCTCATTTGCATAAAATCTTCGAGCCCCGATCAACGTAATATTTATAATATAGGGAGAGAGTGAACTAGTAGTAGGAATTGAAAAATACTTTAAGCAAACATAATTTCCATTAATTTCTCTCTGGACTTCGTTGAGTGATTACTGGTTTTATTAACATCTCACTTGGAAGCAACACGATGGTTATTGGCGACGAATCTATTAATTTTATTCCATGGTAAAGTGACGAGGACGATACCTAAGTTGGCATTTCACTCTCCTATCTGTTCGGATTTGGAATGCATCATTATTTTTTTTACAAAACATAAGGCTAATTAATGTCATTATCTTTTAATCAAAACCTAAACGATGAGCTACATGTATCTAGCTGAGACTATTCTGGAATTTATTTACGAGAGTGCAAAATTACAAAACTTTATTTCAACAAACAAATGTATTGTGCTTTTCCTTATTGCAAATGCAATTCTTTCTTTAATTATTAAGTTATCTTCGCTCAAGCTATTAGGAGGTTGTTTGGAAATGATTTCTTGGGATATTTTTTTTGGGAATTAATTAGAGTTGAAACAAATTTTGACATCATTTCATTTATATTTCGATAAGTTTTTGTGATTTTTTTCCAAAACATTTCAGCCAATAATAATAACATAACACTGTGATGTCCTCTGAACGTTGTTTTAGTATCCAATTGCGTAATGTGTAACCATTCCGATTTTCATCTGAAATCAAAAGGTTTTGATTTTAAGTCAACAACTTATTTTCTAAGAATATGAACCTCAATTTTTTGATGAAAATAATGAAAATTAAAAATTTTGCAGCCGTTGGAAAAATTTACTTCGATTTTCACGATTTTTTCCCTCTAATTATGCAAAGAAAAATACCCTTAAATTCATGACATCATCTCACAAGTTGTTTCATTAAATTTGTAATTTTAAGAAAAATCGTACTATCGGTTTTCATAATAATCGCTTACATACTTTTTGAGTTAGACAGCCCGTAAATATGGAAAAAGTCAGTTTGAGATAAACGCGTTTGAAAAATAAATTCTCAGAAACTAGAATTCCAAGGAAGTTAAAATCACGTAATATTCTTACCGATTAATCGGTGATTGCAGAACCATACAGCAATCTTTCTTCCTCATAGACTTCGTTTTGCGCTTGCAGCAATACTTTCCGACCTTCTTTCGATTCCAGTGAACTACGTCGATTCTGCCAGCTCACGCACTGTTTATTCATTTGTTCGGCATAATTAAAGCTTTGCCTGCCTAATACAATTCCTGCCTCGTTCATAACCGTCAGAAGGGAAGAATTTGCTGCATTAAATAAACCTGTTGCTAAATACGATGCCGATTTAGCGATTTTTAGTCCGGAGTGCAAGTGTTTATGAGCTAATCACCAAATAGTGGAATAAAAACTTTCATTTGCATATTGTGTGTGGCCACCTAAGCCACACACAATATGCAATATGCACTCCAGTAAATCATCCCTTGATAAATCTTTATATATCAAATTCTGGATTCTAAGTGCTTACACAACATGGGCGGAAAAATAAATTCAGCAACTTTACGCCCCCCCTTCTTTTTATCAAAAAGATGGATATCAATAAACGAGTTTTTCTTTTACTGCCATTTTTTAAGCAAACGGTATGTCACAATTATTTACTAAATGAACATTTTTAATTAATTTTATTATTTCAAACCCTAAGAGGGAAATTGTTGTTAAAATAATGAATGTTATTTTTGTATAATTTACTAAAGACAATGGAATGAAAAACTAAAAAATTAAAATAAAATATCAAGATGTCTTTGTCAGATGGTGTTTTTTTCTTTTTGAATGTTTTGTTCAGTAAGAGTAAATATATATATGTCTAGGCTTTCATCCATACTGTTCTTTTAACACACACATATTATATATATATATATATATATATATATATATATATATATATATATATATATATATATATATATATATTTGTGTGTGTGTAAATGTTTAATAAAACGTTCAAAAAAAGCAATCGTTTCAATAGCTATCTATAAATCTTTCTTTCATTTATTATTTGGAAAATAGATTTTATAATTAATATAAATTATATATATATATATATATATATATATATATATATTAAAAAAGTATTTCTATTATTTCATTACTAAATTAATTATTTGTGAATTAAAAAGTACATCGTCTATTATTTTGGATAAAAATACATTTTAGGTACATTTTTCAAGCTAACTATATGCAACGATTGATTGATTAATGAAAAAAGTAAATTCATAAGCATTTTATGGAAATAGAAAAGCCATCATCTGAATAAAAGCGTTAGTTAAGCGCAAAAAAAGTTACCTTAATGCAAAACATTCGAACTTAATCTCTAATTTTTATAATTTCCCACAAGATTTTTAAAAAATTCAGTCTGAGTATTTGTTGCAAAGGTTTTATCTGTATTCTATAGTTGTAGATCTCTATTCGTATACCTTAATTTTGTGATATATTTGTTTATTTTGTAGCATGATAAGTAGAAAAAATATTATAATTTTTTTTTATTTCTTTTATTTTAAAAATGCTTAAATGGGAGAAATTTAAAATTTGCGGGATACAAAATACAAGCATTACTTAGCATCAATTTGATGTAAGAACATAAGATATAATAAAAAAATAAACATATCTTTGTAAATATATGTAATAAATTATAATGTATATCATTCAAAAAAAAGTAATCATGAGTAATACAAAAGACAAGTTAAATTGTTTTTATTATATACTTTCGTGTTCATTATAAATAATGATGTTGTATTGTATTAATACTGTTTTAAA